ATGGATTGGAATTAGTCAAAAATGTATATGTAAAACTCTAGAGCATCCACTGAAAAAAAATTTTTTTTAATTTTTTTGACAGGCAGAGTTAGACAGTGAGAGAGAGAGACAGAGAGAAAGGTCTTCCTTCCGTTGGTTCACCCCCCAAATGGCAGCTACGACCAGTGCACTGGGCCGATCTGAAGCCAGGAGCCAGGTGCTTCTTCCTGGTCTCCCATGCGGGTGTAGGGCCCAAACACTTGAGCATCCTACACTGCCTTCCTGGGCCACAGCAGAGAGTTGGACTGGAAGAGGAGCAACCGGGACAGAATCCGGTGCCCCAACTGGAGCTAGAACCCGAGGTGCCGGCACCACAGGAAGAGGATTAGCCAGTGAGCCATGGCGCCGGCCCCCATTGAAAAATTTTTAAAAGTACATTAATTGATACAGTTATAGGGGAGATGAAATTACATAAAATGCTCAATGAATACCAAGCAAGGAAGAAAAGGAGTAGAAGACAACAAAAGGAAGCAGGGAATCAATGTAAGGAATAGAAAATTGTCACAAGCATGGTAAACATGAGGGGACTTCAAACAGCTCATGGGGATATGGAATTAAAGGATAAATTTGCTTTTGTGATAAATTTTTGGAAATGTTAGCAGAGTTATTTTGTAGTATGATTTTATGACCTTTTTGAAGTAATCACATATTAATCTAACTGCATAAAATCACTTTAAATGAGAACCGTCTAACTACAGCAATTAAAGAGATTATTGGAGTAGATAGAAAATAATAGCCAACCATGTTGTCTACAAGAAATGCACTTTAAACATAAAGATTCAGGAAAAAAATAAGTAAAAAACATAAAGATTCAGGAAAAAATAAGTAAAGGGATAAAGATAGAGCACACTAACATTAATGTAAAGAAATCTAGAGAAACTGTATTGATTTCAGACAGAGCAGATTCCACAACAAAGAAACTTGCTGAGGTAAAGACGGCATTAGATGAGGATAAAGGAGTCAGTTCTTCAGGAAAACAAAACAATGCTGTGTGTGTGTGTACCAAGAGGCACAGAGGTAAAGCACAGGAGGCAAAACTGATGGAATTGGAAGGAAAAACTTACAAGCCACTCTCATAGCCGGAGACTTCAGGACCTCTAAGTAGTTAATAAATCAAGCAGACAGAAAATCATTAAAAATCTAAATCTTCGGAAGAGCATACCAGTCAACATTATTTAATTGGCACCTACAGAATACATCCAATGTACGTATTGGAGCTCTCACAGAACATACATCAAGATAGACCACATTCTGAGCAATTTAACAAACATCAACAAGTGTCAAAGAATAGAAATCACACAAAGTATGCTTTCAGGGCACTTGAACTCAATATTAGGATTAAACTTGAAATTAATAACAAAGACAGCTGGAAAATGTCCAAATGTTTGGTAATTAAAGAACTACCTCTAAAGCATACCTGAGTCAATAAAGTCTCAAGTGAAATTAAATATTTTGAACTACATGAAAATAAAATTTGTAAGATATAGACAACGCAGTGTCCGAGGAAGCTTGGAAGCTCTACTGCTTTCCGATGGCCCTGCTCAAGAGTCTGGAGTTCGGCTGGCAGGGGCTGATCTAGAGTGGTTTTGGGTGGGGTTTAGCTCTACTCAATATGTCTCTCATCCTTCACCTGGGCATTGGTTTTCATGGGATGCCAGAAGAGCAATAAATCAAGCCTACCAAGGTGAATGTTTCTCAGTGCTCTGCTCACAAGGTATCTACTTACATCCCATGGCCCCAACCAAATCCCATGGCCAAAACAAGAATCAAGATGTATGGACAGGGACCAGCACAGTGGCATTGTGGGTAAGGCCACTGCCTGCAGTGCTGGCATCCCATATGAGCACCAGTTCAAGTTCCTGCTGCTCCACTTCAGATCCAGCTCTCTGCTGTGGCCTCGGAAAGCAGTGGAAGATGGCCCAAATCCTTGGGTCCCTGAACCCATATGGGAGACCTAGAAGAATCTCGGGGCTCCCGGCCTCGGAGAGGAGGCACAATTCCAGCCATTGTGCCCATTTGGGGGGTGAACCAGCAGATAGAAAACCTCTCTCTTTCTCTCTCTCTCTCTGTAACTCTGCTTTTAAAATAAATAAATAAATCTTTAAAAAAATGTATGGAGATATCCCTACCTTTCACACATAGCAGGGTGAATCCTTCTGAACAATAATCTAGGAAAATTCTGAGTGTTCTGTTGACCCTGAACCAACAGCCTCTCACTCCAACCACTTTTTTCTTTTTCATTTCCACTAATACTGTTCATTCTCCCCTCTGGATGACCCTCTTCTCTATTTAATAGACTGTTGGGGAAGGGAAAGGGTGACTCTTGGCTTTTCATGCCTCTGATACATTCATTTGGGAGGACAGTTGCTTACTTTAAGTAGTCCATTTCCATGGGCTTCTCAGCCAACTCCTCTATTTATCATGCAGATGCATTCTCAAATCCTGAATCCATATGCCTTCTCACCAAAGCATGGGTTACTGAGAGATGAATTATCTGTGTGTATTAATCTTTATTCTGAGGTTAAACATAAGGTAAGAGAGGATTCTCTTCTGGGATCAGTTATCAAAGATGGGCTCTGGTCCTGCTTTGAACTGAGTCTTATTAACTTAAGATAGCCTGGGTCTGTGCCGTCAAAATTTAAAGCCAAACTGGGATCAAGAAGATGCTAAGGAAAATGTCAGGTGCACCCTACTAAGAGAATAAAGAGTTAGAGGGGCCCCAAAATGACAGGAAGAGCCTCCAGGGGATTGGGCATAGGAGGACTGAATTGATGGAGGGCACGATGGAATTTTCAGGCCATAAACAGTGAGAAAACCTGGTGGTTGGGCAGGAATGAGAAGGGTAACTTCAGGGAACCAGGCAGAAGTAGACCGGTCTTGAGAAGCAAGGAAAAACAAGAGAGGCTAAGAATTGGAAATCTAATAACCCTAGTTTCAAATATCAACTCCATCTCTGCCTAACCTTGTTTGTTATTTAACACTCAGATTCTCATCAGTAAATTCGAGATTATTTGACCAACTGAATGGGTTGTTTGAGGATTATAAAGAGTGTGTGTAACGCACCTAGCTTAATGTTTCACAAAGTATTGGCATTCGATACATACACGTTTTCTTCCTTCCCCTGTTTCCTATTCTTCTCCCCTCCCCACCTCACCACAATCTTGACTCATTTTAAAAACAGGAGCTGTGTACCTGTGCTAAACTGATGTAAGCTAGAAATTTCTAATAACCTTTTTCAATTCTTTCTGATTAATTTGAAACTGTGGGATGCTACCTTTGCCCTTGAAAAATCACAATAATTTTAGGAACAATCTGTTCCTTACAGTCTAAAGAAACACTAATGTTTCTTTTGACTAAAGTGAAATTATTTTTAATTCTTTATTTGAAAATTCATGAAGAGTAAAGCAATAAATAAATCATCTTGATCTTTAAAGAATAGATTTATTTATAAACAAAAATAATGACCACAAAAAATAGCACTGAGGTTTGAACAAATTCTGAGTGAAATTTGGTATTGAACTCGTGGTTGAAATCCATGTAAACCATCTAATCAAATTTAAATAAACCTGTAATATTAATTTCAAAAAGGTGACATCACAGTTAAAAGATTTAAGGAAAATTACACTATAAGAAATTCTAAGGGCCCAAATATTTTAATTTTGTTTCAACATTATGCCTAGAGTATTGCTTGAAATAAAAAGATCATTTGCTGCATCATTTAGCTAGTGATTTCAGAAATAACATTTTCTGTCATAATAGAATTTAGCCACAAAAATAAATAACACACAGAGGTGATTTTGAAACTGTCAAAATCAATGCTATGCTTCTTTAAATAAAATGTTATGTGGAAGACTTAGCTACACAACAAAAAATAGCAAAGTGTAAGAGAGAGACTGGCATCCATCTGTTCAGGAACACATTTGCTCTCCTATCTCTGACCACTAGAGACCCTGAGGACCCACCCGACCTCACATAGCTCCTGGGACTCCAGGATCCCAAAGAAAATCACAGCTCCAAAGCCTAACCAACTAGTGTTTTAATAAATTAATTTTAGTGAATCTTGGTGACATTTTACCTTTCACATGAAATAAAAGAGATCATTGTACATCTTAATAATTTCTTTTAAGGTATTTAGTCCACATATTTATGATTATCTATTCTTGAATATGTTGTGTCATAATGTAAAATGATTTTAGATCTCCATCAAGAAAAGTCTGGAAGATCTTATACTACTTCATAAAGCTGAGAAACATTTCATGGAAATTGTAGCATTTTTGCTAAAATAATTTTGAAATAACAAACTTCAATGAATGTTGAATGTTGAATAATGAATAATGTATGTTTGAATGTTGAATGTCCTCCAAAAGACCCATGCACTAAGGGCTTGGTTCCCAGGTGGCACTGGAGAGATGGTGGTATCTTTAAGAGGAGGGGCCTGGTAGAAGGTACTAGGAATGTGCTCTGAGAAGGTCATTCTTATGTGTCCACTTGAACTCTCACCAGAAGGTTGTTATAAAAGGCTGGGAGTTTGGGCTCATTTACTGTCTCTGTTCCCAGCTTGCTATGTGGTCCTCCTTGCCTGTGTGCTCCATTATCAGCCATTGGGCCTTCTCTGGAGCCTGCATTATTCCTTTTGAACTTTCAGCCTTCCAAACTGTAAACTCAATATGCTTCTCTTTCCTTCATAAGTAGCTTAGCTCCAGTATTTCATTATATTAACAAAAAAAAACTAATACAGTAACAAATGGAATCCAATTCGTAACAAAAGTTATGATTGAATACATGTAAAGGTCAACTAATGTAGTAGCTGGAAGCTAGATACCTGGGTATCTTGGGCTGTTTAACTTATATTTATATCTTATTAATTTTAAATTTAATGCCATTGTTCTGTATCTATCAAAAAAGTGTTTCAATTTCAAACTTAAGATCATTGAATAACTTGACTGTCTCATGACTTCTAGCATTGTCACCAGTCCCTCCTGAATCAAAGATGTACATGCGCAAGAATTTCAACAGTGAAAAGTAGAACTAGTAACTTAGTTAATCCATAGAACTGGGTGATGTCTCTCATCTTAATAACATTGCAGATGTGTTTATCTTTCAGGTTTCAGTATGACTCTAGCATTAGTTTTCAGAAATGAACATCCAAATGCGATCAGGTGTTTTTTTATGTGGGACAGCAGGGTGTTGTGTTGGTTGAGCTCCTAATTGCTGGGTTGCTCCTAGGAGGAGTCCCTTGGCTTCTTAAATTGTAAGGTGTTTTCCCAAAATGAATCATCTCATCTTTGACCACTTTTTCTAAGCATGATTCAAGGTGTTATATAGTCTTCAACAAACAGCATGTTCTTGAGGTTGTGTAAAGTCCTTTTTTTCTGCCCAGCAGGCTTTCGGTTGTCTCCACCAAACGCATCATACAACATAGTGACTTGAGAGCAGAACCAGCCACTACTGAGAAGTAATGTGCAGTGGACAGGTTAATGGGCAATTCTTCCTTACCATGGACCCTAAACTTGAATCATAGGCTTCTAACAAAACTGGTCCAGGAGCTAGTTGAGATAATATGCACATTGTTAATGTAATAGGAATCAGAGTTGCAATAATGAATAACATTGTAATGTCTGATCACTACCAGATATAGGACAACCCAGTGTAATTTATTTCTCTTTCTATAATTTATAATATGAAATTCAGCTTTGGTAATCAATAAATTCATTCAACAACTATGTATATAGTGCCTATGATACAACTAAATTAGAGACAGTTGGATATCCAAACACAAGTAAGGTATAGTTTGGTTTCAAAAAAATTAGAATCTGGCATTGAAAAGAATACAATGTTTAAATTGCCATTAACAAGGACAACAGATAGTACTGCACTACTTATATGTTCCAGGCCATGTTCTAAATTTTTTTTAACTTTATTACTTTATTTAATCCTTACAACACCTCTCTTATCATCTAATGTTATATATGAGAAAGTTTTCTTGAATTTACATAATTACTTAGTAATAGGATCTATATTCAAATATAGGAAGCTCAAAAAACTACTTATTTACAGGTGTCAATACAAAAAATAACTATTTTCAATTTTTTCAACACAAAACAAATGAATATGTTAAAAAGGAATGAACATTTTGAAGATGGAAAAAACCACACTCAACTGTGACACCAGTACACCTTGAAGGAGATTGGTTTGGAAATAAAATTTGAAATATAATTAGGATATGCACGTGAAAATAAAAGGTACTTCAAAAAATGGGAAAAGGGAATTAAAAGATCTTTATTTTGGTGCAAATTTTTTTTGGAATCCAGGCATAGTTTTTTTTTTTAACTTTTATTTAATGAATATAAATTTCCAAAGTACAGCTTATGGATTACAATGGCTTCCCCCCACCCCATAACGTCCCTCCCACCCGCAACCCTCCCCTTTCCCACTCCCTCTCCCCTTCCATTCACATCAAGATTCATTTTCGATTCTCTTTATATACAGAAGATCAGTTTAGCATACATCAAGTAAAGATTTCAACAGTTTGCTCCCACACAGAAACATAAAGTGAAAAATACTGTTTGAGTACTAGTTCTAGCATTAAATCTCAATGTACAGCACACTAAGGACAAAGATCCTACATGAGGAGTAAGTGCACAGTGACTCCTGTTGTTGACTTAACAAATTGACACTCTTGTTTATGGCCTCAGTAATCACCCTAGGCTCTTGTCCTGAGCTGCCAAGGCTATGGAAGCCCCCTGAGTTCACCAACTCTGATCATATTTAGACAAGGCCATGGTCAAAGTGGAAGTTCTCTCCTCCCTTCAGAGAAAGGTACCTCCTTCTTTGATGACCCGTTCTTTCCACTGGGATCTCACTCGTGGAGATCTTTCATTTAGGTGTTTTGTTTTTTTTTTTTTGTTTTTTTTTTTTTTTTTTTGCCAGAGTGTCTTGGCTTTCCATGCCTGAAATACTCTCATGGGCATTTCAGCTGGATCCGCATGCCTTAAGGGCTGATTCTGAGGTCAGAGTGCTGTTTAGGACATCTGCCATTCTATGGGTCTGCTGTGTATCTCACTCCCCATGTTGGATCGTTCTCTCCCTTTTTTATTCTATCAGCTAGTATTTGCAGACACTATTCTTGTTTCTGTGATCCCTTTGGTTCTTAGTCCTATCATTATGATCAATTGTGAACAGAAATTGACCACTGGGACTAGTGAGGTGGCATTGGTATATGCCACCTTGATGGGATTGCATAGTTTTTTCATACCATACATTTCCTATAAACTTTTTGAAAACTCCTCATGTAGAAATGATATATCACCAAGATAGAGTAAAAAGAAGGAGAAAAATCAGGAAATCAATAAGAAGAGAATGGACAAAGTACTTTCCCCATAGTTATTAGAAACCCAAACACAAACTGCAGAAGAGTATCTCTGAAGACAGTGTTTGGATAACAGTCACAATGAAAGACATGTATGATAGAAATGAGGATGTCAGTCAACAATTTGGACATATTTAACAATGAACCAAAGATGAGGTTGTTAGTTAATGGTGATTATAAAATGGAGAATTTTGTTGGCTGGGGAGGGGTTGGAGGAGTTATAAATGGGGTAGGAGGAAGACAAGAAGAAAATAGTGGAATAAGAGACTCAGAAATGATTCAAGGGCAAATAACTGGGCAAGACTTGGGCAGAGGAAAGAAGCAACTCAATAAAGAAGGAAGTCATCTCTCTAAGAAATGGTAATGAAAAACAACGTAGTAGATGAGCTAACAAGCGAAAAAAAATGGAGGGTATAAAAGAAGCCACTCACTGTGGGCTAAGCCTCCACCTGTGGCATCAGCATCCCATATGGGCGCCAAGTCTAGTCCAAGCTGCTCCTCTTTCTATCCAGCTCTCTGCTGTGGCCTGGGAAAGCAGTAGAAGATGCCTCAAGTCCTTGGGCCCCTGCACTCGCATGGAATACCCAGAAGAAGCTCCTGGCTCCTGGCTTTGGATCAGGCCTCATTCCAGCCATTGGGGCCATTTGGGGAGTGAACCAGTGGATGGAAGACCTTTCTCTCTGTCTCTCCCTCTCTCTGTCTATAATTCTGCCTGTCAAATAAATAAATAAATCTTTAAAAGAAGCCACTATGATTTAAGAGCCTCTTCTTAAAATGTTCTGAATTAAGAACAAAAAGCAGTAGAAGTTTTGCAGTTTACTATCTACATGGTACTTTAATAATGTCTCCAAAATTATTTTTATTTACATGTTTACTATATGACACAGAATTAATTAGAGAGTTTAGGAATTTTCCAGGCCAATAGATACTAATCAATTAATTTATTGATCAAACATTTATAGAGTACCTCTCATGTGCCAGATAACATGTTAAATATGATTCATAAGGAGAGAAATGATTTCTTCTTCCTAGAGTTTACTTTTCAGTAGGAGAAGCAAAGAAGCAAATGTATGAAGAAGTGGTAAGCTTTCTGAAAAAGCTCAGTTTGTAATGTAAAGATATAACTCAGGAACCTTCACCAGGCTGGAAGATTAGGGAAGACTTCTGGAGGAAGTGATATTTAAGTTGAAACTCATTTAAGAGTCGACCAGGGCTAGAAATATACAACAGTGCCAATCAACTGGAACTAAACTATCATAAAACTAAATTAAACTCAAAAATCACAAGGATAGAAATACGCTTCAACCCAAATTTATCTGCTAATGTCAAAAGCCATTCCTATTTGTTCCCACTGTTGGATTTGATTCAGTGTTCCCATTTGAATAGCTTTCATTGAACAGTGATTTTGGAAGGTCAAGAATTTCTAAGGTTCTAGAGACCTTAGTTCGACAGACACAAGGGTATGCCAAAAAGTTTATGGAAAAACTGAATTTAAAGATAAGTTGATTCTAGTACAAAATTTCTTTTTGAAATCCATGTATAGTTTTTTTCATAGCACGCTATTTCCATGAACTTTTGGAATATTTCATATCTTTTTTAATTTTTCTGTTATTTAATCATGTTCTTGGTAAGAAATTTAGAACATAAATTTGTGAGGATAAATTCCATTTGTTAGAGCAAAATCAGATCATGTATGGTCCTGGGACCGTGGAAAAACCTTTTTTTTTTTTTAGTATGATGGTGCAGGAGCTGTGGAAAAAGCTTTGTTTTGGGTGAAATTTGCAAGTCTATAGCTTTCTGGTCAACCTTGTACTGCTCTGCAATCTCATATTTCTCTCTGTGTCACAGAACTCACTTTCCTGGTGTGTGAACTTCTGCAGTGCATCTTTTTGAAGGAAGCATCAGTGAAACGTCCGGGCATCTTCACATTGTTGGTATTAGTTTTCACAGAAGTGGCAATGACAAATCTGTGGCGTGTTCTGTGTAGTTGAAAGCCACTGCTCAGCCAGTGCAGGAAAGTCATGCTCTTGCCTTGGCGGCAGCCAGTGAAAATGATGACAATGGGCTGGGAATGATGATGACCTACATTTTTCTCACACGTTGACTGAAGTGTTTCTTGCTCTGGCTCTACAACTTTTGAGGCATATCTTCACGGGAGAATGTATAGGCATTTTGTGACACTTATATTAGCCTTTTTGTCACCACCAACTGGTGGTGACACCTCTGATAATTAGAGGCTGATTATCTCCTCTTGGATGTGATCTTTCAGAAATACATAGCAGATAGAGAATATCTGCCAGTTCCCTTGACAAAGGATTTTGGCTGCAGTAAAGCTTCCCTTCTTAGGCATTTTGACCTCAAGGTCATCCCTTTCAACCCTACCACTGGCATCAGCCTTCTTGGCTTCAGGTTCCCTCTACTTGGTGTTGGCTTCTAGGCCTTTTCATTGCCATCTTGAAAGACAGGGAAGAGGACCTATGGTATCTGACACAGAGCAGAAGGCTTCATCCTTGGGATCCACAATGTCCAGAATGAGACAGGCTCTACAGGGAACTAGGGAGAGAAGGAAGTTTCCAATCACTTCTTTAGAATCTTACAGCTATATGGTCAATAGGTTTTCCAGGTTGAAAGACATACCCTGTGAGTAGAGCTCAGAGGCCTCTAGGAAATTGACTTGAGCTGGTGCTGTGGCGCAGCAGGTTAAAGCCCTGGCTTGAAACGTCGGCATCCCATATGGGTGCCAGTTCTAGTCCCAGCTGCTCCTCTTTCGGTCCAGCTCTCTTTTGTGGCCTAGGAAAGCAGTGGAAGATGGCCCAAGTGCTTGGGCCCCTGCACCCACGTGGGAGACCCAGAAGAAGCTCCTGGCTCCTGGCTTCGGATCAGTGCAGCTCTGGCTGTTGCGGCCCTCTGAAGAGTGAACCAGCAAATGGAAGACCTCTCTCTCTGTCTCTACCTCACTCTATGACTCTTATAAAATAAACCTTTAAAAAAAGAAGAAGAAGAAATTGACTTAAACTTCAGGGTTTCTTTTGGTGAGATTCTGTATCTCATTCAACTTTTAAGCTACAAATTGCACTGAACTGAGAGGAATCTATGTGAAGTACTATTTCCTCTGGTATGAGGTAGAAATTAACTTCCTCTCACACCTTGTTATGTCTTGGGAGAAGTCTTTGGGGGCAAGAAAATTATTGGTGCTCCAGGGAATTCCTGGATCTATTGGTGAGATAATGGATTTCAAAGATACTGAGGCTGGATTTACAGTCTAAGGAGCCATAATGGCTTGAAATAGAGCCCAGAAGACAAAAATGACTTATAAGTTTGACCTCTGTCCTCTCCATTCTTGAGAGAGATCTCGGTATCGTGCCACCTCGTCTTCCATTCCCACTGTCTTGACCTCGTTGTTCCACCTGTTACTGGTGCTTATGGCTCTCCTTGGGAATACACACCTCCTCTTGTTTGGGAATCCAGCACTTTCATGAAAACTTGTCTTAGCTTTTTTGACTCTTATATCTTAAGCACTAAATAACCACTTGAGATATACTAATGTCCACAATCATATCTTCCAGTTCTGTCTCACTATTTTATTAAAGATTATCTCATTTGAGTCTCATAAAAGGCAGGAGCAATTATATCCAAGTTTTACACATGTGGCTAGTGCATTTTAAACAAGGTCATAAAGTCAAAAAACTCATGAGTGAGGGGAGCTAGGATGAAAACCTAGGCCTTCGGGCAACTAATTTAGTATTTTTTTTTTACTTGATTATTTTGTTTTGATTTTTAAGTATTTAACTTATATACTTATTTTCCCATCAGAAAAAGTGAAACTTTCTTCATAAATATGGTTTTGGTCACACAGGACAGTCCTCTTAATCTGCAACAGAATCTGGATTTTCTAGTTTCTAAATCCCTATATTGTTTTTCACAGAGTTCATGACTCATGAGTTGAAGCAAAAGGAAGAATGAAAAAGGAAAAAGAAAAAAAAGTCTCACTGAAGATCCTGGGACAGATGGAGTCAAGATTTTAGAAAACTGGGGCAGCCTACTTAGGTGAGGAACCACTTTTTCATAACCTGAGGACATTATCTGCACTATCATTAAAGTATATTTTACCCAATACCTTCACACACTGGTCCAATGTTTCTCAATGCTTAAAGACACATATGGGTCAAGAGACAATAAAGTCGTGCTTCCATCTTCTTGATATGGTATTGAACAAGCTGTGCTATTAACGATCACATAGTTCAAACCTGCATTTTAAGGTTGAGGAGAGTCTGACCTATAGAGGTTAAATGCCCTGCGTGATATGCAGCAGTCAGAACTAAAACTTGGACATGACATGTGTAGGTCAATACTGTTTCTCTGTTTTAGCTAAAACATTAAGCTGTCAACTTATGATAATAAATGTATTTGGGACCCTTTTTAGATCAGATGAATCTGCATCAGTAAGGACCAGATATCAATATTTTTTCTGAAGCTTATCTAATGATTTTAAAATGCAGCCCAGGTGAGAACCAGTGTCCCACCAGGTATACAAGAAAATATTAACAATATATGCAAATAATTTCTCTCAGACTAAGATGCATTATATGACAGAATATAATTTTATCGGTGTGTAATTTTAATAGGAGAAAATTTTAAATTAAATACATAATACCAGTAATGAAGACTTCAATAGGTATGGGTTTATTGCCCTGCATTAACAGAGTTTTACTTGACTCTTAGTGACACTGCAAAATAGTGAAAAAAAAACAAAAAAATTTCTGGAATTTTTGTGTCACTCCACTGGATCTTCCAGGAGTTTTATCCCTAGGGTCTATATAAATGAGTCAATCCTAAATACTGTTTATTGATACTTAGAAATAGAAAGTAACTGAGATGCTTTGAAAAGATTAAAAGACAAGCAAGTTTAAAGCTTAAATATGTAGATTGTATATTTTGTACTTTTCCACATCTGAGAAGAACAGTAACATTAAATATTTGTAAGGTTATATAAATCCAGGGGTAACCATTGGCACAGTGGTTAAGACACTGCTTGGGACACTCACATCCTATATCGGAGTATTTGGGTTTTAAGTCCTTGCTCCTCCAGCTTCTTGCTAGTGCAGACCCCGGAGGCAACAGAAAATGGCTCAAGTGCTTGGGTTCTTGCCACCCACTAGGGAGAAGTAGGTTGAGTTCCCAGCTCCTGGCTTCAGCCTGGCCCAGCCCCAGCTGTTGCAAGCATTTGGAAAGTGACCAGTAGATGGAAAATCTCTCTCCATCTTTGCCTTTCAAATAATACTTAAAATTCAAATAATACATAAAAATTCATATGTAATCATGAAATAATCATGCAAATGGTCTAAATAGTAAAATGCAAAGTTCTTTGATTAAATGTGCTCATTTAAATGGCTGCTTTGTGTTTAAATGAGATGAAATGTTTGCTTAAAGAACAAACGTAAAATGGCCATAAAATAAATGGCTGTATGAAAAGATAGCATTTTAAGTGTAAAATTGTGCTTAAAGAGTAGCAATGTCAATGCAGGCAATGCAAGTAGGTATTAACTAAACATTAAACAGTAGTGCTTTAAATAGGTATAACTGCATTCCTAATTCATCATCACTGCATGTGTAATTCATGCTGTGTGGGTTTGTGTAAGTGACCAAGTCTTCTATTATTAGGGCACAACTCACAGCAATCCTAAGCAGTGTCTTCAGAATTAGGTTCCTAATAGCAAACACTATCTGGCTCCTTTTGATTTTGTGACTTTGGAGTGAATTTCCAGAGAATTCTGTTGATGAGATTCGTGGATGGCATTTTTGATGTGACATTTTTAGAATAAAACACAAAAAGCACAAGGAGCAATAATCTGCAAACATTTTGAAGATGGAAGTTGAAAGATTGGCTCACTGATTTTCTCCTTTATAGGAAGACAATAGCATAGAAAGTTCTTCTTAAGGAAAGGTCATTAAAACTATCTGCAAAGGGATGTTATTGCCCTTTGCAAATAATTTGATACCAAAAATCTCGAGAGACATTGATATTTACAGAAGTGTAAGAGAACATTGTACAAGGGGTCTTGAAAAAGTTCATGAAAAATTCACATTATACAAACTTATTCATGGGTTTCCATTTTTTTGCACCAATAGAAGTTTATATTTTATTCCATGAGCTTTTTATATTGCCCTCAAATATATTACGCACTCTGAACTTAAAGTGAACTGTAAATGTTACAGCTTAACGTGTACAAAGCAATATAGCATGTAGACACTGCAATCAGACTGCCTGGTTTTTTATAAGCTTAACAGGCATGGGCACAGTTCTTGATCTGTTTTGCTTTTGTATCATCTATAAAATAGAAATACACAAGTGCTTATTTCATAGCATTATTTTGAGGAATAAAAGAAGCACATATAGTTTAATTGACTTACCAAGTCAAAATATTAAGTATGAAGACTAGTTTCTTTTTCTATTATGATCATTTGTCGTATTTTAGATTTAGAATCAATATCAACTGCTTTCATGTTCCTTTCCAACTATAGTTCTGAATCTAAATGAAATAAAAAGTAGAAGAATCTATATTTTAATAAATCCACGCATGTAATCAGCTAATCAACCATCCATTGCATCCACTGAACATTCAAATGGCATGCAAAGTTTTAAATGTGTTGAAACCACTTTAAAAAAATATTTATTTGAAAGGGAGGGAGGAGAAGGAGGAAGAGAGAGAGGGAGATCAATCTTCCATTCATTGGTCCACTCCCCAAATGCTTGCAACAGCCAGGGCTAGGCCAAGCTGAAGCCAGAAGCCAGGAACTCCATCTGAGTCTCCCATGTGGGTGACAGTAACCTCAAGAATTGGGCCATTACCTGCTGCCTGCCAAGTGCATTAGCAGAAAGCTGGATTGGAAGTGTGGAGTAACTGGACTTGATGTAAGATGCAGGTATCCCAAGTAGCAGCTTAATTTGCTGCACCACATACTATCAAGTTATTCCATGAGAAACCCTAATATATTTTTCTGTGAATTTTAAAACTTTCTCAGTTTTTATTTTCTTCTCTCTTAAATTACATATTGAAAGGAGAACAAGAGAATTTTTCTTTATGAATTCTTAAACCAATTAAAAAATGGATCAGTTTATAGAAAAAACTTTTTTTAAAAAGGTAGGATAAAGTCTCCTTAATAAGAGTATCACTAAGTGAAACATGTGCTCCTTTCTTTCCCCTACTTTGTCTCTAAATGCATTAAAAAATTCTTTGTGTCAGTTATACTTGTATAACTGTATCTACCTAAGTCTAAACAATAATGTCATTACCAAGACATTCAATAGTTACTGAATTAGTATAAAAATGAGAAAATTGCCTAAGGAGCAGGTAGTCTGTTGGGTTGAGTCAAGAAGAAATACAGTCACTATGCCATGAAGATTATAGCGAGGGGCCGGTGCCGAGGCTCACTTGGTTAATCCTCTGCCTGCGGCACCAGCATCCCATATGGGCACCGGGTTCTAGTCCCAGTTGCTCCTCTTCCAATCCAGCACTCTGCTGTGGCCCGGGAAGGCAGTGGAGGATGGCTCAAGTGCTTGGGCCTCTGCACCCACATGGGAGACCAGGAAGAAGCGCCTGGCTCCTGGCTTCGGATCAGCATAGCTCTGGCATAGCTCTGGCCAAAGCAGCCATTGGGGGGTGAACCAATGGAAGGAAGACCTTTCTCTTTGTCTCTCTCTCTTACTGTCTGTCAAATAAAAAAAAAAGATTATAGCAAAATATGGAACTCAGATTTTTGCATGGAATTTTTGCTTTATTTTCACTTCATAAAACATTTAACATGCATATTTAAAAATTACCATAAAAGGTATGCTTCATTCAAATAGATCTTGCTAAAGAGGTCTCATATAATTAACATCTGCTTTGAAATTAGTTAATTTTTTTCAAATATTAGCTTTTGATTGAACAAAATGTATGTTCATGTTCTCATATTTTGAATATTAAACATCACAATTTCATTTTGGACTGTTTCTTGTGTTTTTCAATGCCTTAACTGCAATAAATCAAGCAATACTATTTATTTCAGTAGTTCTTTCAGTAGACTCATAAAACAATTTAAAACATTTTGTGTTATGTAAAAATGAATTCACTGAAGGACCTATGCTCAGTTTTTCAATTTGAAAAGCAGTCATTATGTAATAAACAAGTGCACTAGCAGTCAATCGGAACCCCAACTTGAGGGAAGAAGCAAGAGACAGGAGAAGAATTTAAGGTTTTATAAGCCCTTGTCTGATGCTAAATGATGGCTCTTTGGCTAGGGTCCAGGACTTATTCTGGCTGTGGGCTACAATGGGTTTCCAGCTGTTACTAGTTTAAGGCCTGCTCTATCCAGAATTTCCTAACTCACCACCTAAAAGGACCCTCTTTTCATGTAAAAGGCTATTTTTATAGCCTTTCCCACTCAATATTGCTTATTGTTTGTTAGGCATCAGCTTTAAGCTTTAATTATTTTAAAACTACATGTCACAAAGCAACCATGAATTCTGTATCAGTTTAAAATGAGTACATTTTACCAGTCACAATACTCAATGTCTTCCCAAAAATATATGTCTTTATAAATCGGTATAGTTAGACTACAGATTTTCTCAGATTTCTAACCCCTTAGAAATTATCTCAATATCTCTCAAATTAGGAATTGCTAATCTAATGTCTTCAAGTCAATGCCCAGTGGAAAATGCTATGACTTGCTTAGTCTCTTCCAGAACTGTTCTATCTTCAAATGTGCTTTGTGCCTTTAAGAGGAGTCATGATTGCACTTTATACTATGTTTATATATTTAAATGAACGATTAATGAAAATTGTTCCCAATTAAAAAAAAAAAGAAGACGAAAACTATTTTGCGGAGGCAGTGGTGAATCTTCCCTGATGTGTCACAGTGGAGTCATTCCTGAAAACTAATGGGTAAAAAATTGAGTAAACATAGAACCAATAAAGAAGAGATTTCTTCACACCAGGTAAAATCAGCCCATGGAAGAGTTTGCTGCTGTGGAAAATTTTGATGATGATATCTCGCTTGCAAGCACCAGCTATAAAGTGAAAAATTCCTCCCCATACATCAATACCATAGAGCTGACTGTTGCCACTTGTGTCAGCATGGCCACATTCTCCCCATCCTGCTCCCACCCAATCTTGCTCCTTCTTTTGCTGATAAAGCACAGCACTCTAGTTGATGAAAGGAAGATGGTAACCAAGGCCAATTCCTTCTCCTTCCGGTCACTTCTTACAAGGATCTCAGGGTGTCACCTGTGAATCAGGAAATGCTCCCAGCTGACACCTCATTCTTCTTAATTCTGCTTTCATTCCTCAGAGACTTGAGCTACCCACCCCCCATCCAATCTGCAGGAAAAAGCCATTTTGTAACCAGCAGCCCTTTTTCCTAATTTTAATTGACCTAACCTGTGATCACTATCAATACCATAATCCATTGCCATTATTGTATTTCTCGGTTCCATTTATTCTTTTACAAAACAGCAAGTTAGTGAGAAGCCATAGTGCTGGTTCTCTTGTCAGATTCAGAAGCTTAACTTAAGAACCAGCCTACCTCTGTTTGCAGTTCAGTGATTCATTTAACTCATGAATGCCGACCACCTACCAAGTAAGCCATCCCAAGCATCAGTGTTTCCATACACCAGGAGGTACTTGTAGTGAGCAGGAACTCCCTGCAAGGCTCTCAGCAAAGCACCTTCATTGTCTTCCTGTGAGTTAGATACAACTATCACCCCTAGTTTACACAGGAGGAAACTGAGGCAGATTAAATCCCTTACCTAAGGATTCACATGCAGTCTAAATGTTCACCACTCAAAGAAGCACGAAGTATTTGTTCGCAGCAGGAGTAAGAGTAAGGAGTAGACAGTAAGAGGCCTTGGAGTGAGGGAGAAAGGAGCCAAAACAAACAAGGAAAAAGGAAATTGTAATTTTAAAAAGCAATTACAAGTAGAAATAGAAAAGTAAGGGGGCTGTTAAGCCTCCCTCAAATTCCATTTTCTATTCAAATATGTGTACTGCTAAACTGACTTAAAATAAAGAGAATGTATGGGTACCTACAGATTGGAACAGGATGACGTACACATAGGAAAAAAAAAGATACAAAAGTGTGTTTTGTTTTTTTTTTTAACAGACCCCAAGTTCCAGATCTGGAATCAGGCTACCAGGGAGTGAAACCGTCAGAGCTGTAAGAGATCCGCTAAAAAGGGATCTTTGTAGATTTCAGAAATCGCAGCCTCTGTGGAGAGCCATGAACGTTGCACTAGATTTGATGGTCAAAGGCGGCCATCCGCACCAAGGGTGACTCCATCAGCAAGAGCAGGAGCCGGCGGATAAGCCAAGGCACCGCGAGTGCTCCAGTCGGGTAGGGGCGAACCAGGTTGTCGGGAACCCAGTGACAGTAAAGACTGAGTGGCTTCACATTCATCGTAGGCCTCGTCGGGAAGGCAAGGGTAAGTCCTGGAAAGATTTTGAGCGGATGAGAAGGTTTGGGTGAGTTAACGGATAAGCAGCGCGTTGACGGCATAAAGCAGAAAACAGCGACTTGGGGCCGTTCTTCCTACGGACTCCCCTCTGCAGTGAGATGTGTCGCAGCGCTGTTGGAAGCAGAGGGGCTGGCAAGGACGCACGGCTGTGAAAGGCATTCCTGGGCAGCGGCGCCTTTGTATGGGAGGAGGGGAGCCCAAGGGCCAGGGGCAGACTAAGTATGTTCCCAAACAGGGAGTGAACCGAGTAGGACACACACACACACACACACACACCCCACTCTCCAAAAGCAGCTCCTGGAACGCCAGCCCTGGCCGGAAGGCCGACTTCCATTCATTCAAGTTTTGCCTGTCACCCACGGCAAAGGGAACTAAAACCGCCCACTCTGTCCCAGCAGGTGACCCCAAGAAGCAAACCAACTCATCTGGTCGGCGCCCGCCACCTCCTCCCGCGCGAGTCCCAGAGCCAGGTGGAAAAGTTTGGGGAGGAGTCCTCGGCCAGCCAGCAGGACATTTTTTCATCCTCCAGCCACTGCTCTCAGGTGCGCTCCTCCGAGGGAGGATGACATGGAGAGTCCTCGCCGGGGGCCGAGATTAGGAAACTCCGGGCACTTTGCACCTCACCCCGCTAGTCAGGCCTCCGCAGGCTCCTCCCTAGTCTTATAAAGGTCGAAGCGCCGGGCAGTGGCGCACACTTGCCTGCGAGGCCCGCAGTCCGAGGGTCACTGCTGACGCGCGGCCCCTGCAAGCTCTCAGCGGCGCTCCAGCCACAGCCCGGCAGCGCGTCGAGCACTCCCGGTCCCGCCGCCCGCAGTGCAGCCCCTGCGCCCGTACGCTCCGCCTGCGCTCGCCGCGGGGACGAGGATGGAGACGCGCCGCGCGGGCCTCGTGCCGCAGCTGCTGCTCTGCCTGGGTAAGCCCTCGTCCCACCCGGTTCCTGTGCACTTGTCATCCGACAAGGACGGAGGTGTCTGCGGGTTCAAGTGCACTCCATGTAAAGGCACCGTCGTGCCTTTCCCCAGGGGTGTGTGGGGAAATGGGGGCTAAAAATGCCTTTCATTGAAATATTTATTACTGCTGTGTATATCTTATGCATGAAATCTTTATTAAACAAGATTAAAAAGTGAGAAGCTTTCGGTTTTTCTTTTGAAAACTTGCCGTTTCTAGAAATGTAAAGGCCTGGAACGCACTGTTGTTAATATACCATCCTTTATTCCTTCTGGTTGGAGGGTGAAAGGAGTAGGGGGTGGACCTCCGCATAAAGAATAGTTTTACAAAAAAATACTCTGCCCCCCTCTCTCTTGCACGCAGTTTGCTAAAAGCTAGCCTGGTTAAGTTTCCTAGGGGCGCTGGTGTGAGTCTGGGTCTTGTTGGCTGGAGGTCCTGCTGTTCTCGGGTAGCTGGAGTGGAGGGAATGTGAACAGGTCCTGGCACTTGCCACCGCCCGCGGCCCGGACACCTACCGCTTCCGGCTTTTCCAGCAGCAGGCGCTTCCAGAGGCCGGGCTGGTCTTTGCACTTGCTGCTAATTGCATCTACTCGCAAGAAGGTATTATTGTGGGTTTCCCTATTTGAGAGAATTTTGGTTTTTTTAGGCAGAAAAAAAAATCCCGATACATGTTTTCAGGATTGAAAAAAAAATCACTTTTCCCTAATTCCTTAAACTTCCAGAGGAGTTTGCAGTTGTACTCATATATGAATACTGTAATAAGGAAATAAAAGTTACCAGTCTCACATTCTTCCTGGAGTTGCAAGGAGGTGGATTCCCATAACTAACTCTTCCTTTGTAGAATACGACAGCTAAATTATGACTTTGACACACCTTATTTCAGGGGTTGGGAGATATAATAAGACGCATACTATGCATAGTTGCAACTTAGAAGTCCAAGTTCAGGATTATAAATGGAAACTGGACCTGTGGTTTTTGCCAAAATTGATCTAAGAATGATCTGCTAGAAAATTCTCAGTAAATAATGCAGCTTGGCTGTCTTTGTTTTCAGATTTCTGTGACAAGAAAGAATCAGAAAGGCGATAGTCTTCCTAGAGTTAGAAATTAACCCAGAGGTCAGAGAATGGCTTAGCACTTTTTGTTGTTGTTGTTCCACCTGTAAGGTTGTGTCTGAACAATGCAACTTTCTGTTCTTGGCATCTCATTGAATATTCTAATTTGAGACAGCAAGGACCTATGAATAGCCTGCTTACTACCCACTAAGTATGTGTGTTGTGTGTTTTTGTTGTCATGAAAGTGCTTACCTCCTTTATTGCATTACTTAATTATAGTTCACCTATTTCATCAGCCGCCAAGCCCATTTCCAAATGAGCTAGGCCAGTTTCTGTTTTCCCAGTTTGTTTAGATATTTCTCTGCCACTAGGAAAGTTCCTGTTTGAAGTTCTGTATCTTTATGCTTTACCTAGATATGCAGGTCTTATAGTTTGACTCTAAAACACTGGTGGGAAAGGCAAGGTCCTTTCTTACTTCTGAAGTTACCTTTATTTTCTCCTAATAGAAGATTACTCAGAAATACTTTCCCCAAACTCTGTCCTTTCAAAAAAAGACACTTATCTAAGATTCAGCTTTCATTTTAATATTGCTATTCTGTAGAATTCATAAAATAAAGATTCAACTCTCTACCTTTATGCAGATTTAAATTGTTATACACTCACATAATCATTTAGTTATTTCAAAATTTTAGACACATTGGATATTGATGTTCTTGTTTAATGGATTGGAGAACTGGCCCCAGTTCATGTAGACCTGAAGCTGTAAGCTACAAATTCACACCTGGGTTAGTTCATACTTATAGCCTAAAGAACCCTAAATAAAAAGATTGAGACAACCAACACTGGATAACATTTTTCTCAGTAACCTATAATATATATTGGAGCTGAATTATCTTTTTTAATCTTATGGTTTCTCTCAGAGGAGAACTTTTTTCTCTCTACCTCTGCAGTTATGCTTGGAACTCTCTAATGAAATGAAACCTTTTCATTCACACCCAAATGGAGTTTTGAACATATTTTTGAATGCCATCTCCAAGACAGTATAATCCGTGTTCATCATACAAGGACAGAGAGCCCTACAAAGTAAACATTCTTTCTTGACAATGCAGAGGTATAGATTTCAATGAGACCATTGGCTTGCCCTCGATCATCGCTGTTGACCTGAGAGTTTGTGAGCTACCTGAGTCTTAGTATACCTGAGATGACACATCTTGGCAGAAAATATGATGACTGGCCTCTCCTGTCTGCATTTTGACCCCAGAACCCTAATTGCACTTTGCATTGTCTTGCCACATGAGCAGCCTGGGTAATTGAGGTGTCTGGTTTTATTCTGGGACCCAAATCCTGAAATTGGTAGGGAATTAACAATTACCAGATGCCTACTGTATGCCAACCACATTGTCTGTTAAGTGCCTTACACACATTACCTCATTTTCTCCTAACAACATGAAGTAGGTGGGATTAACCCAGTTTTGAAGAAAGGAAGGTTCAAGGGAGTCAGATTTCTCATAAGGAATTTTTTTTTAAGATTTATTTTATTTGAAAGGCAGAGTTACAGAGAGGCAGTGGCAGAGAGAGAGAGAGAGAGAGAGAGAGAGAGAGAGGTCTTCCTTCCATTGGTTCACTCCCCAGATGGCTGCAACTGATGGAGCTGCGCTGATCTGAAGCCAGGAGCCAGGAGCATCTTCTAGGTCTCCCATGCAGGTGCAGGGGCTCGAGGACTTGGGGCATTTTATACTGCTTTTTCAGGCTACAGCAGAGAGCTGGATTGGAAGTGGAGCAGCTAGAAATCAAACCTGCGCCCATTTGGGATGCCAGCACTACAGACAGCGGCTTTAGCCGCTAAGCCACAGCACCTGCCAGCACCCTCTCATAAAGAATTAAGTATAGTCAACGGCAAGGCTACCCTATCACTACACAGAATGTGCCAATGGACCTCAGAGCTGGCAGGAGCACAGTAAGACAACAGGTTCTTACAGAAGTTCCAGCATGTTCTGAAACTTTCCCAGGGCTTAGAACTTATTATGAAGACAGTACATATATGTACAGAATTGGGCTTTCTGATTCATTTCAAAATAAGAGACAGAAAACATGTGATGTTTTTTAGATTTATTTATTTATTTATTTACTTGAAAGAGTTACAGAGAGAGAAAGGGAGAGGGAGAGAATCTTCCATCTGCTAGTTCACTCCCTAAATGGCCACAACAGCTAGGATTGGGCCAGACTTAAGCCAGGATCCATGAGCTCCCGTGTGGGCACAGGGGCCCAAGCACTTGAGCCATCTTCTGCTGCTTTCCTAAGCTATTAGCAGGGAACTGGATTAGAAGTAGAGTAGCCAGGTCTTGAACTGGCATCAATATGGGATGTTGGCATCACAGGCAAACAGTTTACCCACTATGCCAAAGTGCCAGCCCCAACATGTTACTTTTTAACTTGTGCTAAAACATATTGAATTTTACTGCCCACTCATAATTTTTAATTGACACAATCAATGGCTAGAACTTTTATTGCAAAGCAGTCATTGAAGTCAGTTCACTGAAAGCTTTATTTCCATATCTTCCAAGATGTATGTTAAGTAAAGCAACCAAGGAGAAGGATACGTTATGTCATTTTTTTTTAAAAAGATTGATTTATTTATTTGAAAGGAAGAGACAGAAAAAGAAGGTTCTTCCATCTGCAGGTTCACTCCCCAATGGCCACAATGGCCAGGGATGGGCTGGGTCAAAACCAGGAGCAAGAACTTCATCCACATCTGACAAGTAGGTGCAGGGGCCCAAGCACTTGGACCATCTTCCACTGCTTTCCTAGGAGTATTAGCAGTGAGCTGGATCAGAAGTGAGGCTGGGGCTCCAACCAGTGTCCATATGGTGTGCTAGAATCTCAGGCAGTGGCTTTACCTACTATGCCACAACGCCGACCCCCACTTTATGTAATTTTTATTCTTTGTGTCCTTTTTATATTATTATGAATTGAATATAGCTTCAATAAAAAACCAAGTCAGAGTCTGCCACCCATTCCTTATAGCAGTAGATATAGGTTTTTTTGTTGCAAATAAAGCCTATTACACTCACACAATCACTTTGTGAAAACTGAATTTCAATATTTTCTGTTCATTTTTGCACAAGAAACTTCTATTTCCTGCTCAAGTGTCACCCATGAGATGCAAATGTCAAGTAAGAAATCCTCTTTGAAGAGATTGTAAGTTAAGACGTGGTTTCCTCATCCCTCAATTTTCACTCTGAATATAGGTTTACGCAAACTGTCTAATTAATACAGTTGTAACTACTGTTGGGGACATTCCATTAGAAGACAATGGGATGGCAGCCCAAAGCTGTAACATGAGAGGTGCTCAGGGAGGAGTAGCCTGGTAGCCTTGGCCTTGCTATAGCAATTCAGAAACCTTTGGTAAAAGGAAGTGGTGAGGCAGACTCAGTGTCCTCTGGCCATGCAGTTTATGTAAGACTGGGTGTTGGGTTACAGAGCAGATAAAGAAAGGTTCAATGGCATTCCAAGTTGAAGTCATGATTTAAATAACCATGATACTATTTATGACATGCAGCATGATTTATACTTGTCCAGAAAAAAGTGAACCCTCAATTTCTTACGTCAAAACCCCCGACTTTAAATTTGAAGCGGGAAAGTAACTGATAACACACATGAATGCATTTTTACCTATGTCACCTTTTATAATTTTGAATTATAGACATTGTTCATAGGATATAGATTTCACACCACAGTTTTTTCATTTTATACTTTCAGAAAGATCTGTTCCTCCTTGAGCCTCATTTTCTCATTTGTAAAATGCAAATCATTGATCAGATCAGGTTAAGGGATTTAATGATTGACAAGTGGTAACAAATGCTCTTTCAAAACCATGGCTGTCATCATCATTGTCATCATCATCAAAGTGCTT